CAGCCGACTCAGATGCTGGGTTAGAGAAGTTACTGGATTCTTCAATACTGTCAGGCTGAGGGGTGTTGATGTGGTGTCTCTTTAGGGTCAGATTGTGGATAAATGTATTCAGGTCTTTAAATAATGTGAAGGAATTGGGTCTGATGTCGGGTACGAAATTGAGACCTTTGGTGAGTAGGTTTTTTTCATGTGGGGTCAGGGCATGGTCTGAAAGATTGAAAATTCTAACTGTAGATTGTTTGGGTGTGGCCTTTCTTTTTTGTAATACCCATGGGAACATGTTCCTCCCCTAACTCCTCTTCGTTTTTTTTCTTTTTTGTGGTTGCAATAGGCCTAACTCTAAAAAATGCTCTGGTTCCATGAGAGAGGGTGGGGCAAGCTCTGGGCTGGTAACTGAAGTCCAGAAAGTCACAGAGTTTTTTTATTCTCAAATCCCTGGGGTATTTTTGGAGGTACTGGATGTCCCACCATGGTACATTTTTGTCAAAGGCCAAGTGTTGTAGTTTAAGGAGGGCTTATAGGAATCTGGGTGCCCCTTTCATAAAGGGGCCACCCAGATCCCTCACCTTCTCGTGAATGAGTAAGGGGTACTTCTGTAAGGTAAGGAGGTACTTCTGTAGTGCCAGGTAGAGTCAAGACAAGATGTTGCTTCAAGCTGGAGTTTCTGTGTTCAAGTACTCACTAGCATAGTAGCTCCATTTATTTATAAGGCAAGAAAGGGGTAAAAACAGGAAAGGGCGGCCCCAACAGCCTACCATTTCCTCCATGCACAATTACATCACAGGACTTGACAAAAGAAAAGGGTAGTGTATGCTCGTGCTCGAGCAGAAGTGGTGCACATAGCTCATAGCTGCTGGTGCATGTGAATCAAACCATGTGCAACAGATTTCCCGCCAAAACACCACACAAAGGAGTCAGCATGTTTGACTATGGATGCCGCTCTGATTAGACCTGCACACGTAATCTCCTGTTACCACTGGAGCGAACTTTATCCAGCATTGCTCAGTGAGCGATGCCCAATAGAAATTATACTACGGATCTCATGAATGTGAGCTTATCTGCAACAAGATCTAATACTGGCCTCAAATCTCCTGTCCGCTTCTTTACGAGAAATAACAGAGAATAAAAACTTAGAAATCTTTCTTGAGCTGGCACCAGTTAAAAAGCCTCCTTTTGAAAAAGAGTCTCAACATACGTGTACAGGATCTGAAGTTTTGAGTGGCACACTGGCAACTTTGTGAGAATGAAATGGGTTGGAGGCGGGGACGTAAATTCCCAGCAATTACTTTCTTGAACAACTAAGAGGACCCAAGGGTCTCAAACATGAACCGACCAAACCTGCACAAATTTGCCTAACCTGGCACCCCCGGGGCAAGTTTGGGCATAGACACCCTCAAAAAGGCTTTTGCTGGTCTTGGGTGGCTGATGTCTTGAATTTACAGTCTCAGAAAGGAGGATCGAGTATTTCTTCAGTTCTTTCTGTATTTCCTGCCAGTCTAATAGACCCTGGATTCCCTGTTCCTGTCTCCAAATTGCCTCCTGTCAGATTGTGGATGCTAGTGGTGAATCCTTCTATTTTGGGGAATCATACCTGATTTTCCCCCCCTGTCACCTTTGAAATTACCAACTCTAACTTGCTTCTACACAGGGATGATCCACCAAATGGGATTTTACACCAATTTGATTTGGATGAAATATCTGCCATCCACGGTTTGAGCCACAAAGCTTTTCTGGCAAGCACTGAAAGCATTGTCCTGGATGAGCAATGCAGAGCATCTATTGCTGCTTCCCGTACAAAATCACTCACTTTTTATGTCATTCAGTGAGTGATATACCGCAGATGCTTTGCTACCAACCAATAGATCAGCTTCAATATTTCCATCCCAAAACTCAAATTCCCTGGCGACTAACTTCAACATCAACCCCGGCCTACAGGCTAAACCCAAGGAAGTATGCATCTTCTTCAGGTCCAGGCCCATTCTTCTATCCAAGGCATCCTTGAATGATGCTGCATCATCCATCGGGAGGGTGATGTGCCTGGCCGGTCTCATAACTGCTGCATCAACCAGAGGCATCGACTCCAATGAACATACCTCCTCTTCCTTGAAGGGATACATTATAGTAAACCTATTTGCCACAGGATGTTTCCTCTCCACTCTTGTACACACATTTCAGTATTAACTCTCTAATCTCCTCAATCAATGGAAATACAGACACATTTTTCTTCCAGTGGGGGCAAAAATCCCTTCTTTTAGAGGCAGGCTCTGATAAATCTTGCCATCCGAATGCTTGTTTTACAGATTTGATTAATGGTTGGACAGAGCCAAAATGGAAACTGACTGCCAATGTTCTGCAGGAGACTCCTCCTCCATAACAGAATTAGAATCACAGTCCTCAGAAGCTCTTCTCTGAGACATGGGAGGACTGGATGCTGAGACAGTTGGCTGACTTGGTCTGACATCTGAAAGCTCATGGAAAGAATATCTTACTGTTTGTTTAATTAAGGACAGTACTTCTATCTTCTCTTCCTCTTTATCTGTTGCTGCCTCCAACAGGCAGGTGCGGCATAACATTTTGTCAGGAAGAGCCAGTTGGCAACAGCAATGGGAAGATAATTAGTCTTTCAACTTTTGCGCCCTTGATCTTGACCGACCATGAGGGCATGATTTAGAGGTCATGGCAACCTCATCTGAACTTGCTGGTGAAGAGTTAAGATGATGAAAGTGAGTAAGATCTCCCCCTCTGGCATGCCGCTGCTGGTGTGGGGGAATGGAAAGATTTACAATTTGTTAGGCCCAATTATAAGCACTCTTTTGAATAAATATACCTACCTATTGACCCTCACCTTATAGAGTGTGGCTACTCTCTGGGAGAGCTCATCCTTGGAAACTAACATATAACGCCGGCAAATAATGACACATGTGTCAGTAGCCTGTGAACGATCCCTAGTTCAGATAATAGGTAAGTTTACTCCCTAAGTAATAAAGCTGACTGTAAGGGAGAGGACGTGTAATACTCTGCAGTGCTGCCACAAACATGATACTCAGAAGTCTGCTATGTCAGTGAGAGAAAGAGAGAGAGAGAGAGAGAGAGAGAGAGAGAGAGAGAGAGAGAGATAGAGAGAGAGAGTGCATGAAACTAAGTCCACAGAAATCATCGGTGCACAAGGAATGAACCTTAACTATAGAATTGCTCAAAGTTACACCAGACCAGCACTGCACTGGAAATTAAAGCCAGCACAGTTTTAGCTGCGAGCTAGGAAGAGGAGGAGCAGCTGCGCCCAGCATCTGACATCAACAAGGTGCACCCCACACACCACAGCCCACACTCCCATACTAATAACATCCAGACGAAGTAAAGGGGAACCCAGAACCCAGCAAACCAACTTTGCAAATGACAAGGGGTTTTCTATCTTTAAAGCACATTTAGACACCAAACAGATGGAACTTCGTCACAGGAGAGGCTTGAACCTGCGTGGGAGACTGGAGGAGACTGGCAGGTGAGGGTAAAGGAAACAAATCATTATAACTGATCTTGAGCCCTGAGGAAAAAAGAGAATGGTGGGATTGGGAGTAGTATTTTATTTATAGTATAACCAATCCTGTGATTGGGTGAGGGGCGGAGCTATACCCATCTGTATGCTGCTATGTTTGGTGTCATGAAAGAGCAAATAAAAGAAGCCATTATTAGGGTGTACGTCCTCGTTAACCCTTTCACTGCCAAGACCTAAATAATGCTTTTAACCTCAGATGGCCACACAATTTTTGCAATTTTTTACCTTTTTATCTTATTTTTAACTGCAGCTTTTAGAGTTTGTAAAAGACCCCCCAAACCTTTCATTTTCTGAAGGCAGAGGCCAAGTTTAATAAAAGGATAAAATATTTTTTAGGTCCTGTGATAATTGTGCAAATGTTTATCAAATCAATATTAAACTGATAAAAATGCACAATTCAAAAACAAAAGCACACTAAACTCAGTATCAGCATACACAAAAAAATACTTTTTTGATCAAATCTAAAAGATAAAACTGTATTGAGTTAATGAATAACAAATAGTTGTATATTTTAAATTGCGCCTTTTTGCAAAATGGTAAAAAAATGAAGGAACGCAAAACTGTAAATAAGCAACTTATGTTAAGAATAGTTTGTGCGCTGTGTTGTTTTTTTGTGTTGTGATTAAATTATGCAAGTGTACATTTAATCTCAACACAGTGTATTACAACGCTTTGCCATGCGCTGCCACACAGATGAATTCATGTTTTTTTTAAAGAAAAAAAACAAGCGCTATGATGTTTTCTAACAATGCACCGCAATGCATGTGCATGGCGTACACCACAATATGGTGCACACTGTTGCACATGTTTTATATGTGTGTGGGGGGGGGATGTTGTGTTTTTTTAAATTTATTTTTAATACATTTTTTACTGTTGGGGGGCTTTGGTAAAATATCAGGGGTTCATTCACATCAGGGGCATTTCCCTTTTGAAATAGAACAAAATAATTAAGGACACAAAGTCCTCAATCTCTTTTTCTGCAGCCTCTGTTCTGAAGGAATAGAAAGCACTCAGTACAAAGACTTCCCATTCATTCACAAATTAGAGATAGTAACTATTTACTATCAGACACTTATGAATGGATAGAAGTCTCTATAGTGAGTGGTACTACCCATTCAGGAACTCATGAATGAACAGGAAGTGATGTAAAGTACATTCTGTTCATTCATAACTGGTTTTCAACTAATTTTCAGTATTAAAATGTGCATGCAAAAAAAAATACAAAACAGTTTTGCAGTGAAAGGGTTAAACTTTAAATTTCACAGTGTTCATTCTCAATATACAAGCATAATACAAACATGTGCAAGATAATTGCACAAGATTAACAAAGTAAATGTGTATGTTATTTTATATATATATATTTATACACACACGGTTCTGTATATTATGTCTAGTTATCATAGATTCTAGTTTGATCTAAAGAGGTCATCATAAAAAAATAAAATAATTATCCTCTGTTTTCAAGCAAACCTGTTTTTGTATTCAGGTCAGGTCTGAACAGAATGATGTAACATTTTGTGAAAAATATACAGCCAAGAAGTCCAGTACTTGAGGCCATTATAGCAAAAATCTCCACAGCCACCATGTATTTCCCTCTGGTGCTCAGATAAGCCGGGATCATGGCAATCCAGACACTGCAGACCACCAGCATGCTGAAGGTGATATACTTGGCCTCATTAAAACCGTCCGGTAATGTTCTGGCTAAAAAAGCTATAATGAAGCTCACAGCTGCCAGAAGCCCCATATTTCCCAGGACAGAGTAGAAGCCGATAACTGAACCCTCATTACACTGAAGGATGATCTTTGCCTGATAAGAGTGAGTGTCTCGATCCTGGAAGGGAGGAGATATAGACAACCAAGTGACACAGATTATAACTTGCACCATTGACAACACAGCGATGATGGAATTTGGCAATTTGATTCCCATCCATTTCCTCCAGGAACTCCCAGGTTTGGTGGCTTTAAAAGCTATACACACCATGACACTTTTGGCAATTAGAGAAGAGACGGCAACTGAGAAGATGACACCAAAAGAGGTTACACGCAGCATGCAGGTTACATCTACTGGATGGCCGAGGAACAAGAAGACACAGAGGAAGCTCAGCATGATGGAGGCCAGGAGAAGATAGCTCAGGTTCCGGTTATTAGCTTTAACAATGGGCGTGTCCTGGTAATGTATAAACATCCCCAATATTACACCAGTCAGAAGACAACAGAGGATGGAGACAGCTGAAAATACTGCAACAATTGTATCATCAGTGTA